TGGGACTCATATCATGAGGAAAAAAGCTCATGAGGCATCTACCTTACCAACGGAGACAAGCATTGTCGAGGAGTATCGTCGTACGTTCCAAAAATTGAAGGAGCTTTCCCATAACAGCCCGCGCACTTCCGGCCGATGATAAACGACGAATTATCATCGCGTACGCGATAATAACCATCACAATCACAATCCGCGTCAATGAAAAATTCAGATTGCACAAAATCGGCCATTTCCTCGACAAATCGCAAATTTCTTCGGGAATACATTTAAAATGACTAGTAGGGGGGAGGGGGGCAGGCAGGACCGTAACGAAAGAAAAGATTTCATTTTCGATAAGATGTGTTTATCAATGAATATATGGTATAGTAGAACGATCGATATTAATGTGGTTTGCTTTTTTTATCAATGACTTTATCGCAGCCGCGTCTTCGGGGTTACTTGCGTGCGTGCAGAACACGCACTTGGAAATGCCCTATAGGGCACGCATAAGAAGTTGAATGTAAACTAAATATAAAATTGACACAAGTTAGCTGATATATAAAAAACGAACGGTCAAAGGTACTCTGGAGGCCACAGTAAAGTAAATAAACATTTTTTTAATAAAACGGAATTCTCTCTCTCTCTCTCTCTCTCTCTCTTATCTGCTGCTGGTCAAATTCGATTCTCGAGGTCGCAGGTTCACGATATTACGCCCGGGCCATACGGTGATAATAATTCCGTTCACGGCTGCGGAGGCCACTTCTCCGATAATATCTTTGTGTATCTAATATTGTACATCTAATATGTAAGATACGTAGTCGAACGGCTTTATATGGTGCACGTTATATAAGAAGCATGCTCAATTTATACGGTTCATCATCCGCGGCGTAATCGACAAGGCACCTGATCGGAAGGTAGCTCGCGTAAGTAATGTTATTGAGCGAGGTGTCGGATTTAGAAATTGTATAGGGGGAATTGCGTTACTCGACAGAATGAACACACAACGCTCGATAAGGGAGGCGATAATTATTATTAATTATGGGGACGCCGCTCTTCTTCTTTCTCCCTCCGCGTTAAACCTTAAAAGCACCCCCGAAGTGTGCTAGATCGCGTCGTTTTCCACGAATCGGATTCTATCAGATATTAAATCCGTTTTCGATCGGTGTGTTGAAACGCAAAATTGGACCATCCACTTCCCAATCCGTCTATTGCGCACTCTTTAGTCTCGCCGTTGCCGAGTTTTTTCGCGAAAACAACAGTTTGCGCGCGGTTCTCTCTCTTTCTCTCTCTCTCTTTCTCACTCTCTATTTGTTCATTCTTTAATCTGTTTACGTAGCGTGTTATTCCCACGCCAACTGCATTGGAACGTATGCTCTACGCTACATCTTTAATGTAATTGCGTGTCACTGGATTGACCCCAATACTGCGAAAACCGGCCGGCTAGGAGAATACGAATTTATCGGAGCGTGGATTGAATTCGATCCCGATTTCAAAAGCCTAAATCAAAATGGGGTGACAATCTGCGTTAACGATGTTGTGCGGAATAAAAGGACGGATTTGAAAATAGGGGAGCCGTACTTTCCATGAACTTCTGGCATTTCTGTTCGCGAGAATAACGAGAAATTGGAGGATGCTTGCGAGGTCGCGCTCAGATATTTGCCTCTTGCCTCGCCTCGGGAGCTCAACTACTTTTTTAATATGGACCAATCTGTATTTCGAGCTAAGAAATAGGTTGCTTGCGAACAAAGGCGGATTTAGCGAGCATCCCCTTCGCATTTTAGATACCTTGGGTATCCCTTTACACGGGGAGAGAACGCGATTAATTACGGCAAGGATAAGTGTTTGCGTGTTGTGCTGCACGATGTTTACGTCGCGAGGTAGCAGTATTTATATCCGGATTTCTTTAGAATATCCAAGATCTCCTCCTTCAGAGTGGATATCTCGTGAGCTAAACAATTCGCTTGTTTTCTTACACTCTAGCCGGAGATACGTAATCGTTAGTGACGTTGATTCGATTACTTACGTGTAGCACAGAATTAAAGTAACAGAAGTACGAAAGGTGCACCACTTACCTGAAACAAGAAAATTACAAAATATCTTGAAAATATCGTCTATTATGAGACCGCAAAAGATAACGATAACGAAGATCAATTTATAACTTTATTTTGAAAATGATTACAGAAAAAAGTGCTAGGTTCAAGTAAATAATTATTTTAATATTTCTTAACAAATTCTTACTTGGATTAAGTAAATTTTATTTAGATCAAATAAATATTTTACTTGGATCGAATAAATATTATTTGATCCGAGTAAAAATTTACTAAAGAATATTTGAGTAATTATTTACTTGAATGTAGCACTTTTTCCCTGTGCAATTTATAAATTGACTTCTACCTTTTTTCGTAATTAAAGATCTCTTTTTCGTGAGTTATGCTTCTAAAAGATTTCAAATGGATGGAAGCCTAAAAAAGTGTACAACGCGCAAATGGGGCAACTTTCAGGCTCGAAATAGATTTTAGGGTAATCACCGTCCAATGTATTTTCAATTCCGCCAATGTGACGCTCACGTTGCAAGCTGAATGCATAAGTGATTTTTGCATCGAGTTAATGAGCCGCCTCAAATTTAATTTCGTCGACTATTTCGGATGGCCGCAAGCTCGGCCGAGCTATTTTGGGGTGGATTGCCGGCTGGATATTAGCATAATCATTACTACAGAGATAAAGAGGAAGCCACAGAAATTGCAAGTACAGAATACCCTGCACGAAGAGAAAAGAAATCTCGCCACGACTTAACGACGAAGGCACTCTAAAGTTTTTCGAACCTCGTCGTTGCCTGAAAGCGCAAAGTAATGATCTCTCCGCGGTCAGAAGGAAACCGCCTTTCCTGTCCCAGTTTCTGAAATGTTTTTAGGATGCTCGCCAAACGATACCTCAAGATTTTTCTCCCAAAGACGGAATTACAACGCGAAAGATAAAATGGCAGGCGCCGGGGCGAAAAGACATACAGCCTCATGTCTGAATAAATACAACTCTTGCGCGCAAGAGTTAAAATCTCCCGAAATTGCTCCGGCCTCACGACGGCCACCGACGGGTTCAAATTGCCGCACGAGGAATTACAGAACTTGCGGCTCCGTGTAACAGTACCTAATGCAAATATGAACGAGAATAGCCGCGCATTTGTTTTAATAACGCGCGTGATAATGACGGAGTCGCGAAATTCGCCGGCGCAATCTTCTCTCGAAATGGACGGGCATTCATTTTCGGGCGAAATATTGCTATAAATTCGCGTAACAGCTAACAGATGCTATAAAACTCGCCACCGAAAGATTTACGATGTCACGCTCTGATTCCCCCCTCCCCCCATTGCTAAATGAACGAGTATCGTGGTAAAAAGTCCGTCGATATTTTTATTCTTTTACGGATTAAGATTGAGCTGTTTCCTGCAGAATTTTGACATCTTCGTCTCGGATGATACGAATATCGACGAGTACCATCGCCAGTGAGCAACAGACGTGAAAATACGTAGCGCGGGATCGTGCGGCGATATTTATGTTAAATTTTTCCTCCCTTCACGTGCCGAACGGCACAAAGCGCGCTTGATGGTTTTATTTTTCGACACATTCTAACGATCAGTATTGATTTTCGATGAAATGACCGTGTGCGCGCGCTCCCGACAATGTCGGTCGATAATCGAATGTTTGTTCTTTGTAAAGTCATTCACGATGCACTCGTGATGAGACAAAGCGGTTTAGCACATGCACAACGATGAAAAAAGCCGGTAATGATATTATTAATCCCCGGCAACTTCTTTTATCAGTTTTATTTAAAAACACGTGTCAAACCACTCGCCCATTTTATCCGCGACGAAACGACGTGCGCGCACGCTGATAAAACCTAAACCGCGAACTGCGTAATGTGCAGCATTATACGTGCGATGCGTAGGACATTCTCCATTTAGTGACTTCTACACTGAGTAAAAAAGACTTGAAAATTCATTTCACAGAAATAACTGTTTGTTTAAATACGGTGAAATAAAATTGTATTCTTAGCGAATAAACCAATTAATGAGAAAACTTAGGTATATTTCGTAAAAATGTATATTTCGTCACCGCAGTCAAATTTTTTTCTAATTAATAAACATCGAAGAAAATGTCACAAGAAGCATTTACTTCGCAAAATTTCAATTTCTTTTTCTCAGTATGCACTGAGAAATCTATTTAACATACTCAAACAAAATTCTTGTTTAGATATGGGCAAATAAATGTTTTGGCTATGAGAACGAAAGTTTGCTTTTCCGAATCAAAAGTTTGATTCTCTGAAAATAAAAGAAGTTTCAGAGAATCAAGTTTTGGTTTTCACAGCCAAAATATTGCCCATATCCAAAGAAGAATTTTGTTCGAGTCAACTAAACGGACTTCTCGGTGCAGGGTCATTTCAGTTTTCCGTTCAATTCGCGTCGCTTTTGATGTCATCGACTAGAGTCGACTTTGACCAACTCTGCTTTCGAAGAGAATTTAGCGTGGTCGGCCGATTTTTCACTTACACGAACTGTGTCAATGAAACAAGCCATGTAAACGGAAAACGTGCGCAGTATCCTGTCGTCCCGTCACGTCCAATTCAAAATTTGATTCCGTGAGGGAAGAATCCCAATTTTCGCGCGCATGTTACAATCGCAAGGACTACGGGGTATCGGCCTCATCGATCTTCCGAGCGCGATTACCTCCGAGATAAATGATTGTTCGAGAGAAGCGTACACGTCAGACCAAAGTTCCCAGGGGGGATATTTTACATAGTAACTATCGTGTAAACAACGATCCATTGAAATTTTGGTGTTACTTCAACATGAGATACGAATAGATGTTAGAATAACACAGTCGTCTTATTAACATGTTACCCTTTAACGTATTCGCGTTGTTAAAGTAACCGAAGAATTTCAATGAACCGTTATTTATTTAATTACACATAATTTCTTACGAGTCGGCGAGCTCGAGCCGCCGAGTCTGCGGCGATGACTAACGAACCTTTCATCCAACCTAAAGGACGACCTGGACAGATCGCTCCAGGCGCTCATGCTCCGACTGCGTCTCCTGCAGGACTGCTGCGGCGCCAGCAGTTTGCTGCTGCTCCTCCGCCTGGTGGACGCCAGATTCTCCGCTTGAAAGTACACCCTGGGAGCCTTCTGCTGCGATGCGTTCGGTGGCGTCGAGGTCGGCGTGACCGCCGTCGAGGTATGTAGTTCCGGCAGGGCCTCGTAGTCCCATGCTCTGGCGCCCATATCGAGCAGGGGTACCGACGAGGCAGCGCTGGAGCCACGGAGCGGGTCCCGAGGCTTGCGGTGGTGAAACAGGGCGAGGAGCTGACGGCACGCCGACTTGTTCTCCTTCTTCCTGCCCGCCGTCGGCAGCTTCACCTTGAAGCTGGACCTGCCGGCCGCGGCGACGTCCGGCCACGTCCCTTCCTCGACCACATCGCCGCGAAACTCCTCTGATCAATCGGCGAGACGCTCCCGGTCGAGCGAACGTCGACAAGCGTGCCGTAAGAGTCCGGAGAAACGCACGACCGCACGACGGCCGCGGCGCCGAAGAGTCGACGAGTCCGTGGCGAACATTTCGGGGGAGGATAATTGATACCTGTTGCCGCGTCAGCGATAATGGATTGACTTGTTCACAAAGGATCTTCTTCCTCACTTCTTCCACAGGAAGTTCGCTTTCTTCCGTCGCGGGCAGATACACTTGTAACTTTGTAAAGCGTCTCAAATATTGCCCGGATTGAGCAGAATTAATATTACCGAGACTCGTTGCTCCTCGCTCATTAAAGTCAAGGTTGGGGAAAGCACAGGGGTCCGAGCGCACTGGAGTTGTTATCGGTGAATTAATTAATCTCGCCCTAACTCTTTTTTAAAATGGTTCTAAAGGATAAGCGACGAGAACCCGTTCGCCGGAGTCACCCCGGGAGATGATGGTGTTGCGGAGTGATCGCCTGCGACGATTTAAACTCGTCTCGCTACTCTGGAGAACTCTGATTAAAAACTAACTAAAAAGTTTCCTCGCCGTTCTGTCGGGAGAGCGATGGGAGCGAGACGGCTCTCGGCCGTCGTAACGGGGCAGAAGTAATCTGGCGAAGGGCTCGTCGAAATAATCTCGTTCCACTTTCGCGCGGAAGGAGCTCTCAGGCGATCTGAATAATTCCAGCTTTGTCTTGAGATCCGGCGGGTAAATTTGCGTCGGTAAGAATATGCGAGTGGTCCTTCGAGCCTAAGTAGCTTGCCGTTTCTCTCTTCCTCTTCGAGGACAATGCGATGGAAGACGATGTTTTGCAGACGCGGCGGTAGTTTTACGAGGTAGTTCCGTCCGACTCTGAAGCACTTTTTCGTCCTTTCTTAAGGAGACCGTCTGCGGTCGACGTGTATCTCTCCCGCTATGTACACATGCAATTCAACGGTGTCAACAAATATTCGTAAAAACTCCTTTACATGATATCTCGTGACTCGGTCACGTGAGTTCCTTGTGGTGCTAATTCACCTGACGATTTTTCCTAATCGTTTCTTATAAGCAGTTTCTCAAAATTTCAAGTTCCAACGAGTATCAACAAGTTTTTTGTCAACTAACAATATCTCAATGTAACAAACGTGAGCTATCGACTGGTTCTCCCTCAGCTAAGCTGCTTAAGGTAACAGCAGAACTTTCCGCCTCGGTCGCCTCTAATCACGGTAGAGAAAATGCATCGAAAAGCGTGGTTTAAGTGGTAACAATTAATAAACGTGCGTACGTGTTAACTAAAAATCTCGTTTCCCGTTCGAACATTGTCTCACAATTGTCGAACAAGCCTCACCTGTCGAAAAGCCTCTCGCAAGCACGATTTTGTGCGGTCGCTTTCAACGTCAGATGACACTCGCGCCCGGCGCCATAATAATCTCTAATAACAGTAACAATCGATCGTAAATAACAGCGGAGGGGAGGAACCATTAACGCAGCTTGCGCAACTACGAAGGGAAAGCGCATATTCGACGATACGTATCTCCGTATCGTTTTGTATTGATTCGCACCTGGGCTCGCGGAATGTTTCGCAACGTTGACTCGTGTTGACTTTTCGCGCGAGCGTTTCGCGCAATCGTCGGCTTTCGCGTCTCGTAATGCTCGATTAATAAAAGTCTAGCGAAAAACTTCCGATTCTGCGCGGCCGCTGTTAACCAACGTTCGTCTTACGCTTGTCGCCTCGCATGTTTCGTGTAATGTCCGTTTACGCAAGCAACATATATCATTGGCTACTGGATACGCGGTTCGCCAAGACCGGTTAACCTCAATCGTTTTATCTTCCAGATGATTTCCCGGTTTCTCACGTCGTAAGCACGCAAGCGGTTGGCACGAGACGACGGTCTGGCCAAGGGTTCTGGGGGAAATCAAGTGCTATGTATACACATTGACGGTCCGATTGATCGTCGCTGCCGCCGCCACAACAGCGGTCACAAAAGCGTTTCGCGACACCTCGTTTGCACGACACGTTTCCGTGTGACCCGAATGACGTCACATGGTGATTGAAGGTCACGGTCGGCGGATTCCTACGGCGATGAGGACACGTTCCTCCTTTTCCGTGGTGTCCGCAAGATCTGGAACCTTGACATCTCGCGATGACGATGGGCACGTGAATATTACATCAGCTTATTCCGCGCACGGCACCTGCGTATCGCGCCGAGTTTTACGGCAACTTCACGATTCCGAGGTGCACTTGGGATTTCGACAAACAACGACCGGTCACTGGATCGACGCGACCTTGCCACTCGAGTACACGATTAGGCGACGAGGTCTTCGGAGTACGAAGAAGCGACGTACAAGTCGAGATTCTTCCTTGACGTCCCGTCGAGCGATTGATAAAATTGCCGGTCCTTCTCGCACGAATTCGCTTCTTGTCGAGAGTAAGAAGTCGCACGGTCACTCGAGTTCTTCGAACCACCAATCACCACTGGTTTCTCGCCGAAAGTCTCCCTCGTTATCAATTCCTCCTCGTGCAACAGCCAGATTTCTTTCGCGGCCGTGGGAGCGTCTGGGCGTAACGGGAGTATCCACCGAAATTCCTCGACGACAAAAGCGCCCGGAGATTCTCGTTCAGACAGTAACAAGCCACGGTGCACTCGGCGCAGGTGGCAGCTTCTCACGGGGATAACGTTCCGCTTCTAAAAGCAGCTGAAGGAGGATCGTTATCCACCTCGTCGTCCTCCGACTCGCCGCACTCGAGAACAAGCGCTTGCATTGTCAATGCTCCCGGCGATATTTGGATACAGAGACAAGCGACACGCTCCGCGATTTCAGATACGAGGCTTTCAGCCGATGAGAGACCCCACTCTCTCTCTCTTTCGTTCTCCCTCCCGTTCTCCCTTTGACATACCGCAACTCTTACACACTCGCGATACCTCCCAACCACCGGACCTCCCTCCGACAACCCCCGTCCGTCAGCGACATGAGATCTAACGGGTGTCGCGTCCAAGTGAAACGACGAAATGCCGCATCGTCCTTGATATTCGATGAAAGTGTCGCGTTTTAACAGCTCGAATCGCGAAACCCTGAGTAGACCGGGGACTGAGAGAACCTGTGCTCCAGGTGCACGGTCACGTCTGAATTCAACAAGCGACGATTGTCGCGCACGTCGCGAAACTCACCAGGCACGAATCACCGGACACGGACACCGAACACCTTCGTGAATACGGCCCGTCCGTATCATGAAGGAATGGCGGAAAGCGCGCAACGCCGAACACTCGTGTCTGAGCCGATGGCAGCTTTTTCACGACGTTAGAGAGGAGGCCAGCTCGCAGCTCACTATCCCGTACTGCGGTACACGCTAGCGGTTTTCTCTTGCACGTCACCCCCTCTTGCTGCCGACCTTCCAACCCCCGTTCCACCCTTTCTCACCAGCTAGCACCATCAAACGTCCTCTCTCTCTCTCTCTCTCTCCCTTTCTCTCTCGTTCTTTCCCTCCCTCTCTTTTTCACTCTCTCTCTCTCTCTCTCGTCTCGCTCTCTGTCTCTCTGTCCTACCATCCGCGCGCAGAATATAATCGTCGTTTATCTCGCTCCCTCCCGTTAACGTCGTCCTTCTCTGCTTCACCTTCGTGGCCGTCGTCGTTATCGTCGTCGTCATCGTCGTCGTCGTTGTCGTCATGAAAGGGCGCGCATACACGCACGTGGCGCCGCCGTTGTCAAGGCGACTGCGCCACTTCGGGCTGTGTCTGGGATCTACTCTATCTTCTCTCTGTCACCCCTTGGCGATCCGTCATCTCTTCTCTCGGATCGTTTTTGTTCATGATGAATAATCCACGGTAACTAGATAAATGGCGATGACACTGCCGACTCATCCACTTCTCGGCAGCGATCCTGGTATCTAGTTTCGTCATTGTACTTTTTCGCGATCGAACCGCGTGGCGAGAGAAAAGGCACGAGCTTTCGTGAGCCCATGTCTTTTGTCTGGCGTGTTTTAAAATTCGTGGAAAAACTATGTTGAGATATACTGGTGGGATTATATTAGAATAATATTCCTCTGTCCAGGTGAACATAAAGTCATATTTGCATTTACAACTTTTTAACGAGAGATAGCTGAACGAACACGGACTTATCGAGACGTAACGTCACTCTTTCATTTTCTGATATGTATTTTATTAACGTGATCGTCTGATATCTAATTAATGATTCGTACTTGTTGGATTCTATGAATGAGTTTCTTCATTCGAGACAATCGTTGTTCCATTTAAGGGTAGGTTTGCTCACTTTTAGGGCGGTGTGTTATTTCGGAGTAACGTGACAGGATGAACGTGACAGCGCTCGGGAAGACGACATCGATTCGCACCGGGAACCAAGCTAAACTTGCGTGATGAGCTTGCGCCGTGGCGCGGGCGGAAAGCTTGAATTCCGAATGAGCCACGTGGGTTTGCCGTTGTGCGTGCCGGGCTTGCGTAGCGAGAATCGTGCGCATAACCAACGCTTTTAATGAAGCTTTCTTCATATTCTTTCAACAATCTCACGGTTGTTGTTTCAATGAAGCCCCGCGCTTGTGCGATAAAGCTTTTTACAGACGGAATAATTGAAATACGAAGGGCGTGCGTTTGTGCCGCCGAAAATGAAATCAAGCAACGCTTATTTCGACATTTATACATTTGTTTTATGTAGAAGAGAAAAATTTAAATATTATTTCCGGTGAGTTTTTGAATTTTTCGTTAATCCAGCCACAATGTACCGATGCGATCGGAAAAATTCACTTTCACGTGCGCAAATGCCACTTGCGTGCTCCACATAAAAATACTGTGGTACTATTGATATAATATTAGTATTGATATTTTTCTTTCAATACCAATTATTTTTGTATCGATATTTTGTTTCGATATTCGTACCCATACCAGTACTACTTTGTTTTAATATCTTTCCGATACCTTCTTTTTTTCATTTTAATTCAATCGATCTTCAAGATATCATATATTTTTGCTTTATAAATAT